GCTCTGCGCTCCCCCCTCCCCATGACACTGTCTCCATGGCCCGTCCAGCCTTCGCTCTCTTTGCTGGGGCTACCCCTGAGGGGCTGGGTCGTGCCCATGGGGATGGGGCAGCTTCTCCCCCACGGCCTGGAATGGGACCCACCCCACAGACCCTCCCAGCAGGCACCAAATGGGGTCACTTCCTCCCTTCCCGAATGTCAGGGGATGCTCCCCCCTTCCTTGCAATTCCCAACACCATGGTGTGAGAGGAGCAGGACCCCAGCCCCACTGCCAGGACCCCTCTCCCCTTGCCCACCCCACCCGGGGATTTGTGGCTGGTTCTTTGGGACTGGAAAGGCCCATTCGGGGTAGGTGAGATTGGATCCTATAACCCCTCACCTGTGCATTAGGCCCCGGGCTGATTGTGGCACAGAGAGAGCTGAGGGGTTTTGCTCGGTGTGACTGGTTTGTGGCCTGTTTGGGAAGATCTCCGGTCTGGGGCTGTAAGGATCTCTGAGTGAACACCCTTAGCTGTGTCCATACCTGGCCCAGTCCGTCAGAGGGCTCTGGGGAGGGGATGGGGACACAGGGCAGGGCTGGGGGAGTCTCCAGACACACACAGACAGACACACAGAGGCACTGGGGCCCGAGGGGGGCACTTACCCAGCAGAGGCAGGAGCAGAGGTAGCTCCATGTTGAGCCGGTGGCGCCGGGCTGGGAGCTGGGTGCTCGGCTGAGAAGAGAAAGTTGCAGCCTCAGGCGTGGTCACCGCTCAGCTCAGGAACTGGCGAGACGCTGGTGTGCGTGTACAGGGTGTGAGGAGGGGAAATGAGCATTTCCTGGGCATGACATTGCGGGCAAGGGGAGGGTTTCCAAGTCCCCAAGCCCTGACCCCATGGGATGGGACTGACCCCGCGCTGGGTATGAAGGGCTGGAGGCTTGGTCAGGCACAGCTGGGGAAAGGCTGGGTGGAGGGGAGCAGAAAGGGGGCAGCCCAGCTGAGACAGGGCTGTGGGGAGAAGCTCTCCCGTCTCTTTGTTCATCCCCACAGGGGAGTCATTCAACTGGCCGGCTGGGGGGACCCGTCATGGGAGGAGAAATCACCACAGGGCCTCGGGTCTGTTGTCAGCGCTGTGGGGCCAGACCTTGCCATGAGGGGGGGCCTCAGCTGTGATTCCCCTCCATCCCACCCAGCCAGACCCTCCCGCTGGGCCCCGACCTCCCGACCCGGGTGCTATTTATCGTCTCTGGAGGGAAAGAAACCGACATTTTCCCGTCCACTTGAAACTGCCCCTCAGTGTCGTTCTGAGCCCCGTGTCAGCCCGTCGCTCCGGGAGGGATTCACATTCACCCCGTGGCAAAGAGCTTTCGGGATTTGCTTTCTCATCCCTTCCCTTGCCCCATGAAACTGCCCCCATGGTGGGAAATGCACCCCAGCAAATAAACCAGCCCCCCCCCCCACACTCTCCAATATCCCCCTTGGGCCCCAAGGTGGGAGAGGACCAGTGGGAATATGGAGTCTGACCTCCTGTGTCACGCAGGCCCTGGGGGGTCCCTGAATTGATCCCCCGTGTCCCAAAGGCATCTCTGAGAAGGGGAATGGGGGCTGGATTCAGAACCAGCATGCCTGGAGAATCCCCCCAGCCCCTGGGCAATTCTTCCTCTGGGTCATTGCCCCGCCATTACAATCTGATTTCCAGGCTGTGAGGTGGGGGAGCGGGCAGACCCCGGCCAGAGACGGCACCATGTTAAGGACACTGTGCGAGGAGAAGGACCAGCTCTGCGAACGAGAGCTATGTTGGGAAACGCCCTTCAGAGCGGCCGGGCAGCAGACCCCGTGGCAGGGATTTTAACGTGAAAGCGGCGATTTTGTGTCAAACAAAATGGAGTCGGTCACCTTTGACCCCTGGGCTCCATCTTGGACTTTGCCCCTCCCCCCGTGGCGCGCGCAGCGACCGTTAGGGAACCGGTTCCAACCGGATTTTCCCGCCTTGCCGAGAGTTCCGCTCCCCTCAGGGCTCCCGCCAAGCAGCCTGGGAGACGCCAGTCGCTGCCCCAGAGGCAGCCAGAGCCGGGTCCCCTCCGACACGCACCCCCCCCTCCGTCCCTATGGGGGGGAACAGGGGCACCCGCCCCCCATGTCCATACCTGGCCCAGTCCGTCACAAGGCTCTGGGAGGGGATGGGGACACAGGGCTGGGCTGGGGGAGTCTCCAGACAGAGACACACCGAGGGGCTGGGGGCCGAGGCGGGCACTTACCCAGCAGAGGCAGGAGCAGAGTTAGCTCCATGCTGAGCCGGTGGTGCCGGGCGGGGAGCCGGGAGCTCGGCCGAGCAGAGGAAGTCTGGTGTTTTAGATACCGCTTGTAATGATATAACTGGGAGCACTGGCTGTGGGGGTCTGGAAGCACAGGAAACAGGAAGGACGGGGAGGAGATGGGCCAGGCTGATTGGACCCACCCGCACCCTTTCTGCAAAGCCGAGCGTCCAATTGCTTGTACTGCCTGGCTCCATACGTTTGAGACTTATCCGCTTGCAATCGGTGCAATAGAGATTTCTGAAGAAAGCAAGCGAGCTCTGCTAATCCACTGCCTTGGAACAGAAGGGCGGCGTGTATTTTACACTTTTCCCCTTGCAGATGATAAATCTGAGACTGCACTCATTGCACTGAAGAACGTATTTGTGCCAGAAGAGAATGTAGTAGCTAATTGCTACAGATTTCACCAGTATGAGAAGAAAGTAGCCTCTGACACGCACCCCCTCCTCCCTGTGGGGGGAAAAGGGGCACCTCCCCTGTTAGGCATCCCCGGCCCCATCCACTCACCCGCCTCCCTGCTCCGCCCGCATCTCTCTCCTCCCCCTGAATAACAGCAGGGAACCCCTCAGCCGACCCCTCAAAGGCGCTGTGGGGCCCACGGGCTGAAGGCCCCAAGTCCCTTTCAAGTGGCTGTCCCCATCGGTCACTAGATCAGATCCTTGTTTAGGGGACTCCTTACCTTGACTCTCTGACATGGCCAGGATTAACCCAGATGGGTCTGGGCTTCACCCCACTTAATAAGTCACGGCATGGCTAGTTTCTTTGCTGTTTGACTTGCTGGCATGTTACCTCCCTGCCCCCAAATTCCCTGATTTTGCATCATTCCTTAATACGTCTTCTCCTGGTTTGCTTTCTACACAGCCCATCTTCATTTAGGGAACAGAAGGAGAGTTACAAAACAATGGGACAGACCCTGGATTAGAGGACCGGGGCTGTGATCTTCAGCACAGAAAAATCAATCGGATGCCCCACATCCATGCACCTTATTGATCTTTTAAAACTCTACATGCTCACACAGCCATTCGATTAGGGTTTCCTGGACTCAGTAACGCACGTGGACTCCTGGGTCCTTTAACAGCCTTAACATGGAGTCACAAACAGTCCCATGGTCTCCCCAGCCCATCTCGCCTCCCAGACACACTCGACCTAGCCACAATGGTCACTGAGACCAGAAACCACATCCCATGTAGGATGCTTTCAGTCCTAAAACCAGGCTTATTTTCAACACAGATCGATTGGTGCCCTCACTCCTACAGGAAAAACCACATCTGTAGCCAGAGCTGTGATAAGTTTTCTACAGAAATATTAACTAAGGGAAGGGAGGAAGTGAGTGAGCTGCATGTTTAAGGCAGAAAACAGGTGCACACCAGTGAGTTACCATCTAAATTCAAAGAGTGCAGAGCTTTACTGATCTGTGAATTTCAAAGGTAGGCATGCCCACCAAGCAACCCTGGGGATCTCTGGTTTAATTTCAGAGTCGCTGGCCCATCAGAGATCAAAGAGACAAATACCAGTTTCTTTTGTCAGGGATTTTTATTCCCTTGCCTCAGAGAACTGGAGGACAAGGCCACTTCACGTGCAAGTCTCCAGTCCGTGGGTCTGGCGAGCCAACAGCCAAGTGTTTTACAACGTTTTGTCTGACGTCGTGGGGGTTTAGCTGGGCAGGAAATAGCCCCTGCCGTGGAAAGATCTTCTTTCATGCTTACTCATGCTTCTCTGCAGATTGTGTGGGGTGCATAGGGCAGCATAAGCACGTAAATATTACCTGATAACATGCGGAGTGACCATTCTCATTGTGCTTGCAACACACACGCATTTTTTTCCATTCTAAACACTGCTGACATTCTTGTGAGTCTAATCCCGACACTGAGGAAGAGGAACATCGAACTGACCGGGTCTAGTCTCCAGCTGTGAGCTTGTGAGCCCTCAGCTCATCCCTGCAGCCTGGGCAAGGGTGGCACCCGGCCTGCCTGTGTTTCCAATCTTCTGATTAGTATGATCCAGGCAGGCACAGGAATCCCCACTCCTTTGGGTAGAGCTGGCTAGTTTGGCAACTGCCTTCACTGCGCATTTCCAACATGCAGACCTGAAAAATTCTTTCGACATGCCCCATGCACACACCACACAGTGACAGTCATGGCCAGGGGCTCCCCAGTTTTTCTATAATATTGCACAGGATACCAGCTGGCTAAACAGGCTGACAGCAGTGACTTGGGTCATACCAGGGCTATAGGGATACAAAGGGGGAAGGATACAGATCCTGGGCACAGGGGAAGAGGATGTGTAGGAACACAGAGAGGGCTTCCCCTCCTCATTTGGGTGCCTTGTGGGTGGGTTTGGTTGCCACCTCGCTGTACAGCACCCGCGCCTCATCAGCAGGCCTGGCTCTGGTTTTCGACTTTGTCGCATGAGCGTTTGAGGCAGACAACTCTATGTGTGCGTAGGCGACTTCCGAGCCCTGCTGGGGGAGGACAGAGAAGCAGTGAGGGGGGTGCATGGACAGGATTTGGAGGAGGGAGTGGAGAACACGGCCATCGCGTCAGAGCTAGCAAGGCCGGAGGAGGCCAGGAGTGACGTGAGCTGCAACCTAAGTGGAGACTTGCCCTGAAATGAGCCAGGGGCAATGCAGGGACGTGTTTGATGCTCCGCTGAGGCAGGAGAAGTTAAGGAGTGGGTGTAACTGGCGCAGCAGCCGCCCTGCAGAAAAAGAGCCGCAGAGCAGCACAAATGGATTTGAGCCAAGAGGGCCCTGCTGCCGTGAGACAGCCCAACCCCCTCTGGGCGTTGTGAACAGGAGCATCGCACGTACGGCAGCTGAGCTAACGGCCCCTCTCCACCCGGCACTGGTGAGGTCTCCGCTCAGCCCCCTGCCCCAGCATTGCCCTGTCTCACGGGAGTGTTAGGTAAGAGAGTAAGAAAACGTTACTAACTCTGAGGGTAGCTAAGCCCAGAACAGGTGACCCAGCAGTGCAGGGGGATCCCCATCAGGGGGGATTTCAGCGAGGAGCTGGCCAAACACCCGTGGGGAAGGTCCAGGTTTGGGGGATCCTGGCTCAGCAGAGGGGCTGGACTTGAGTCCCTTCCAGCCCTACTTTGCCGTGATTCAGATCAGACTTTGGGGTGATGGGGAAAGGAGTGACCAGTTCTCAGCCCTCCCCACACCTGTAAAACCCAGAGCCACTTCCCTTTGTGGCTTTTCTTTGCCTGCCCCACCCCAGCCAGGCCGCTGCCTCTCAGCCCTGGGCACAAGACTGAGGCCCATGGACCCATTCATGTTACCTGGTCCATCTGTGCGGCTTCTGGTCGCTTCTTCTCACGCCTGGGATCCCTGTTCCTGGCGTGTTCTCTGGGCTCGGATGGCTCAGGGCCTGTCGCATACTTTGCAACTGAAACAGACCCAGAGGAGAAGGGGGCTGATGTGGGGAGTGTCATGAGGATGCCCAGAAAGCAGCTGGCTAATTGCGGTCACGGATGAACCCAGTGGTGAGAAACTGGGCTCAGGTGCCATTGACTTCTGGAGTGAAATCAACCCAATAGGAAAGGGTGTCCTTTGTTCCACGCCCACATGTGAGGGGTGAATTCTGTGGCGTGTGCTGGAGGGGAGGGAAGGTGCCGACACGTCCCCACTCTCATAGGGCTTGGACGTGGTGGCGTAGTGGGGGGCTGTCTGCTCTGTGACCCGGGGTCCCCCTGCGCTGTGATGGGAGATTCTCACTACTCTCCCAAATGTGGATTAACCCAGATTAACTCCCTTTATTCTACTGGCTGTTCGTGCCACTACGGGGGTGCAGGAGTTGAGGGCTGCTTCCCACACCCACGCCATGGCACAGCGCTGTGTGGTTGTGAATGGTTTCACTGCACGAATGTTCCTGGCTACGCCATGTTGAGAGAGCAGATGGGAGATCACCAACCTCTTTTCTTCCTCCAGCCCCACCACAGTAGGGCAGCCAGGAGTCCGAGCAGAAGCAGGACACCACCGACGACTGGCAGCAGAATAACGAGGAGAGGGGGTGCAGCTGTGGCTGATGGAGGAAAGAGGGAAGGGGAGGTGAGAACAGACACCGAAGTGATGTTTCCCGTGCTTCTCTCTGGACACGGCTGTGAATGGGACGGATCGGCCGTCTCAAATCAAACCGCCGCTGAGCTGTTTCTGTGACACCATATGGGATTAAAGCAAATGTAGCGATCTCTGCTTGGAAACACACCGATTTTCACAGCTGTACCCTATTCTAGACCCTGCCTTCCCATTGAGAATAAATTCCTCATTGGCCAGGGATCCCTGAGGGCTGCTTCCCACACCCACACCGTGGCATGGCGCTGTGTTGTTGTGAATGTTCCTGGCTACGCCACGTTGAGAGAGCAGATGGGAGATCACCAACCTCTTTTCTTCCTCCAGCCCCACCACAGTAGGGCAGCCAGGAGTCCGAGCAGAAGCAGGACACCGCCGACGACTGGCAGCAGGATAACGGAAAGAGGGGATGCAGCTGTGGCTGATGGAGGAAAGAGGGAAGGGGAGGTGAGAACAGACAGACGCTCCAGGACAAGGTCTGGGCCCCACAGAGGAACCTGGCGATGCAACAGATTGGCCCTTTGCTGAGCTCTCTGTGACGTGTGTTTGTCCCTGCCTGCTCTTTGCTGCAAAGCGGGGACAGGAGACCCAGTGGTTATGGGGCTGGCCTGGGGCGCTGGCCATGCGGGTTCAATTCTCTGCTTTGCCACAACCCCGTGGGACTTGCTGTGTCCTTGCCTCCGATCCCCATCCCTGCACAGGGCTCCGAGGGGCTCCAGCTGTTACCGACACAGTGAGATCAGACATGTGGCCCGTCACATGTTCCTAGCTAGAATCGGGGGGCGATCGACAGAACGTTCATCCCCCACTTGCTTCTCTATCTGCAGGTGGCACCTGTCACCTCATCCCACCTCCCTTCCCAGGAGAGCCCCTGAGGACGGATTCTCCTCCCTTGGGAGCCTCCCAGGGATGTCTCACCTGTGTTAGCATCATCCACAGTGACGTTCACGGCCTGGCCCGTGGGGGACGGGCTCCAGCCCCCGTTCTCCTTCTTCCCACAGGTGAATTGAATCACGTGGCTGGGACCGCGGGTCACAGTCACATTGACAGAGACATTCCTGGGCTCCGCCACATCGATCTCAGAGCCTGCGATGCTGGGAGCCACCTCATCTCCACCCTTGGGGGCTGTGCAGGTGATGACCAGGGGGAGCCCTTCACCCACCGCTCCAGATGTGGGATCCAAGCTCAGCACTGGCGGAGGAAGGGGATCTGCGGGGAGCAGCAAAGGGGAGGGGTCAGCAGGCATAGGGCAGGGGGGGAAGAGGAGCTGGTGCCCAGAATTCAACTTACTCAGAGCTGCCCCCTGCTCTGTCTCCAGAGCCTCTTGCTTCAGCTCAGGACTGGGGGTCTCTGCACAGAAATAAGCAAGCGCTCAGCTGGGGGGTGGTGGTGGTTTCTCACAGATCCATTGTGGGGCTGGAGTGGGAGGGCAGAAACTGCCATGGACACCAGGCCACAAATCATCTCCTGCTCCTCTGGGCGTTGTGAACAGGAGCATCGCACGTACGGCAGCTGAGCTAACGGCCCCTCTCCACCCGGCACTGGTGAGGTCTCCGCTCAGCCCCCTGCCCCAGCATTGCCCTGTCTCACGGGAGTGTTAGGTAAGAGAGTAAGAAAACGTTACTAACTCTGAGGGTAGCTAAGCCCAGAACAGGTGACCCAGCAGTGCAGGGGGATCCCCATCAGGGGGGATTTCAGAGAGGAGCTGGACAAACACCCGTGGGGAAGGTCCAGGTTTGGGGGATCCTGGCTCAGCAGAGGGGCTGGACTTGAGTCCCTTCCAGCCCTACTTTGCCGTGATTCAGATCAGACTTTGGGGTGATGGGGAAAGGAGTGACCAGTTCTCAGCCCTCCCCACACCTGTAAAACCCAGAGCCACTTCCCTTTGTGGCTTTTCCTTGCCTGCCCCACCCCAGCCAGGCCGCTGCCTCTCAGCCCTGGGCACAAGACTGAGGCCCATGGACCCATTCATGTTACCTGGTCCATCTGTGCGGCTTCTGGTCGCTTCTTCTGACGCCTGGGATCCCTGTTCCTGGGGTGTTCTCTGGGCTCGGATGGCTCAGGGCCCGCCGCAGGCTTTACAACTGAAACAGACCCAGAGGAGAAGGGGGCTGATGTGGGGAGTGTCATGAGGATGCCCAGAAAGCAGCTGGTGGCAAAGGACGTGCATTGGGATGGAGCAGAAGGTTTACACGGGATGCTTAGAACTGCTCTCTGCAGTTGTTAAATATGAGGAGTTACTAATATGGAGAGGCAATGTTTGCACAAGAGATGCATTCTCTAATCAGTGTAGCTACACGGCACTGAGGGACGTATTGATGCTAATTGCGGTCACGGATGAACCCAGTGGTGAGAAACTGGGCTCAGGTGCCATTGACTTCTGGAGTGAAATCAACCCAATAGGAAAGGGTGTCCTTTGTTCCACGCCCACATGTGAGGGGTGAATTCTGTGGCGTGTGCTGGAGGGGAGGGAAGGTGCCGACACGTCCCCACTCCCGAAGTGATGTTTCCCGTGCTTCTCTCTGGACACGGCTGTGAATGGGACGGATCGGCCGTCTCAAATCAAACCGCCGCTGAGCTGTTTCTGTGACACCATATGGGATTAAAGCAAATGTAGCGATCTCTGCTTGGAAACACACCGATTTTCACAGCTGTACCCTATTCTAGACCCTGCCTTCCCATTGAGAATAAATTCCTCATTGGCCAGGGATCCCTGAGGGCTGCTTCCCACACCCACACCGTGGCATGGCGCTGTGTTGTTGTGAATGTTCCTGGCTACGCCACGTTGAGAGAGCAGATGGGAGATCACCAACCTCTTTTCTTCCTCCAGCCCCACCACAGGAGGGCAGCCAGGAGTCCGAGCAGAAGCAGGACACCGCCGACGACTGGCAGCAGGATAACGGAAAGAGGGGATGCAGCTGTGGCTGATGGAGGAAAGAGGGAAGCGGGGGTGAGAACAGCCAGACGCTCCAGGACAAGGTCTGGGCCCCACAGAGGAACCTGGCGATGCAACAGATTGGCCCTTTGCTGAGCTCTCTGTGACGTGTGTTTGTCCCTGCCTGCTCTTTGCTGCAAAGCGGGGACAGGAGACCCAGTGGTTATGGGGCTGGCCTGGGGCGCTGGCCATGCGGGTTCAATTCTCTGCTTTGCCACAACCCCGTGGGACTTGCTGTGTCCTTGCCTCCGATCCCCATCCCTGCACAGGGCTCCGAGGGGCTCCAGCTGTTACCGACACAGTGAGATCAGACATGTGGCCCGTCACATGTTCCTAGCTAGAATCGGGGGGCGATCGACAGAACGTTCATCCCCCACTTGCTTCTCTATCTGCAGGTGGCACCTGTCACCTCATCCCATCTCCCCTTCCCAAGAGAGCCCCTGAGGACGATTCTCCTCCCTTGGGAGCCTCCCAGGGATGTCTCACCTGTGTTAGCATCATCCACAGTGACGTTCACGGCCTGGCCCGTGGGGGACGGGCTCCAGCCCCCGTTCTCCTTCTTCCCACAGGTGAATTGAATCACGTGGCTGGGACCGCGGGTCACAGTCACATTGACAGAGACATTCCTGGGCTCCGCCACATCGATCTCAGAGCCTGCGATGCTGGGAGCCACCTCATCTCCACCCTTGGGGGCTGTGCAGGTGATGACCAGGGGGAGCCCTTCACCCACCGCTCCAGATGTGGGATCCAAGCTCAGCACTGGCGGAGGAAGGGGATCTGCGGGGAGCAGCAAAGGGGAGGGGTCAGCAGGCATAGGGCAGGGGGGAAAGAGGAGCTGGTGCCAAGAATTCAACTTACTCAGAGCTGCCCCCTGCTCTGTCTCCAGAGCCTCTTGCTTCAGCTCAGGACTGGGGGTCTCTGCACAGAAATAAGCAAGCGCTCAGCTGGGGGGTGGTGGTGGTTTCTCACAGATCCATTGTGGGGCTGGAGTGGGAGGGCAGAAACTGCCATGGACACCAGGCCACAAATCATCTCCTGCTAATGCCCCACCTCTGAGTTTCATGGAACCCTCTGCAGACAGATCTCGGGGTGTGTGGGGATCCCCCCCCCCCCACC